AGACAAGAAGGTCCCTCAGAGGGCTTGGCCATAGCTACCCCTTCCCTGATCCAGGGAAGAAGGTTCGCCTACCGTTGGCTCCAAAGCAGGGGACTCCAAATCTTGGTCTCCCCTTCCCTGATCCAGGGAAGAAGGTTCGCCTACCGTTGGCTCCAAAGCAGGGGACTCCAAATCTTGGTCTCCCCTTCCCTGATCCAGGGAAGAAGGTTCGCCTACCGTTGGCTCCAAAGCAGGGGACTCCAAATCTTGGTCTCCGAAAACTTCTTCCAGTGGCTAAAAAATGGGGACTCCGACCCCACGTCCTCCAACTCAACGGGAGTGGTATCTCTTGGACGCTCAGATCGGGAGATAGTTCTGAGAAAACTCTTAACATTATCAGTACCTATCAGAAAATTGACCTTGTTCTTTTTTTAGGGAGACCCGCTAGAATAAAAACTGGAGGGTCGGTTTTTTTTCAAAGTAGAAATTTGCATATCCCTTTTCTGGCAGAGTCAATAGAGGTGGAAAGCTTTATCAACATATGCATAGTGGTTTTACTCAGAGGAATCCCTAGAAAGGAATAAAAAAAGACGCCAGGATAAGAAGCTTGAACAATTGAAATATAGTTGGTATGAATACTTATCATGATACCTGGCTCGCCACTCCTAACCTTCATATATGAATCTCCAGGACCTCTCCGCTATCTAATAAGATGCCAAAATCTTTCCTACCCACTCATCAATGTTCGGAATACCTTTCAGGGCTGCCATAAAAAGACAAAGAAGATCAGATCAATTAAAGAAAAGGGGAAAGGAAAATGAGGAATGCTGGTACAATCAAAGGAAACTATGGTTACGTTTTCGTTCCACCTCTCCGAAATAAGCCCATCTTCGGGCTTGACCAACTCACGAGTGGGGACTGCAATAAAACTATCAAACCACCCTATGTCGTGGTCATCCTAGGTATCCACAAGGGTCCGAGTACCTCGACTAGCATCAACATAATTTTTCCCCTCAGCGGCTTGGGGGCAAACAAATGTTGAAGGTGCAAGAGAGAGAATGGAATGTCAGCTACACTTGCTAATAAATAGAAGCACGCACAAGCCTTCATACATTTGGCCCAACTTGGCCTAAACATATATTGAAATGGTGATAAAAGTCGAAGATCACATGATCTATCTTCGAACCCAAAGGTGAACGGATAAGTGTAGATGAAGGAGAAACCCGGTCTATGATCGAAAATTCTTGGCCTGAGGGACGTGAATGGCAACACAATCACCCCATCAACTATTATGAAGGATTAGGGGAACATGTTCTTCACGGACAAGGAAATCTATGTTATTAACATGTGAACTCCCACATTACGCTACTGTCTTGTTCTACACTTCAATTACTTCCTCATAATCCTAGCTTTTGGGAAGTACCTCCGAGATTGTAGGCTCAGAGGTCTGCTTCTCCTTTTTTGTCTTTGTGATATTTGGGAGCTCTTTTACCAGAAGGACCAACAAGTGAAGCCTCCACTGAAGCGATAAATGCAGAAGAGGGGACGTTTCCTGGCGAAGGTAAAGAAGCACCACTGACCAAAGGCGTAGAAGGCTGGTTGTCCCTTGAAGTGAAGCCAAAGCCCTAGGGATCCATGTGAGTTACAATCAGGGGGATAGAAGAAGGAATAGTTGACCAAAAAATAAGGGAAACAAGAAAGGCAGAGAAGAAAATCAGCAAAGGAAGTTTGAGTTAATGGAAAGGCCCATAACCCAATATATATAGGCGGGAAAATTCTCCTTATTTAGCTGCCAAAATCAGGAAAGATTCCCTATCATAAGTAACCATCATTGCCTACAAACCGTAATAGGTGAGAAGTCCAATAAAAACGGTCATTTGTCCTTGCATATTAATTGCGGATTGCGCATGAGTCGCGTCAATCTTGAAGATTGAACTTCGATGAGACTCTTTCTTGCAAAGGAAGAACCCTCTGCAAAATCGACTCCTAACAAGAAAAGAAGACTACCACTTATTGAGAATTCGTCATCGAGTCGCCTAATAAGTTGGGAAACTGACTATATGAGTAAAAATTATCCTCTCTACGCATCTTGACCGAAAAGTCCAACGTGACAATTAAGACCTAGAAATCAAGTGATGGGAGCCTTTGTCGAATTCAAAAGATTCTGAGGTTATGGCCATTGAAGGGTCAAGTATTCGAGAGATGGTCAAATAAGTTCAGGGGCTCAGTCAACCTTATCCAATGGAAGCAACCTACGTTACGCCCAAATGGAAGCCACTATCGAGGATCCCGCTATCCACTACCTAATCCAATGGCGTGCTGGCTCAAAACTCAGAAAGATAATTTTCTTCTCGACATTATAAAAGGTGCTCCTACGCTCAAAAGGAGGATCATCGAATATACACAGAAAAACTCTCCGTAACAAAAATACTATCTTGTGCTAGCCTTTTTTCTGACTAAGCTTTGTAATTCAGTCATACTTGTGAGCATAGATCGCTCGGGACTAGAAATAAAGAAGAATTTTCTCTGTCGCATTATTATTTTTTAATTATTTCACTATTCCTCGTTTATCTTTCTTCATTTTTTATAATTGCATCGAGGCAAACAAATTGCCAGTGGCCCTTGAAAAATACAAATTTGATTGTTTAATCTCAAAACCAGTTTTTGGGTTAAACAACAATTTTCCCTTTAAGTGCATAATAAGTATTATTTCGGTGCTAGTCAAACAAATAATTTTTCAAGACTAGTCTAGTAGCCCGTTTGGCCAAGCTACAAAATTGAGCTTATTTTGAGAAGTATTTTTTTTTCTAAAATAATTTTCTCAAAAGTAATTTTGGTGAGAAGGAGTTTGTGTTTGGCTAATTAACTTGAAAATCACATATGAGCATCAATTAGTGTTTGGCCAAGCTTTAAAAAACTGATTCTAAGTGTATTTTTCTCAAAAGTGCTTTTCAAAAAAGTGTTTCTCGAGAGAAACTATTTTTTTCTGCTTCTCCAAAACTGATTCTGCTTCTCCTCAAACACACTTTTTTTCCTTTCAGAAACTTGGCCAAACACCTTAATTTTAGAAAAAGCACTTTTAACAACAATTTTTTTTGCCTCAAAAGAAGCTTGGTCAAACATGCTATAAGTTTTTACAATATTCAATTGAATATTATATGGTATAATTTGTTGGGATCTCGATAAAAAAATGGCCACTACCCGATCAATATATGACCAATAGCCAACACAATTTTGTCAACTCTTTGACATAATTAGCTCCTATTAATCAATTAACCGATATGAGTAGTTTTTCATATATTGGTGGTTCATTGATCTAAATTACCGTCTAAAACATATCAAAATTGCTAGTAATCAATGACATGATGGAGATAGCAAAATGATGTGAAATTTAATTTCTTTTGTCGTACACCCCGAACGAGCTAAGAAAATTATTATTGTCGATCCTAAATTCTCACCTCAATCCATTGCTAGATGATAAGACCTTCATCCTTTTTCATATGTCAAACCAAGCAAGTAAAGAGAATTTCTCATTTTTTTAATCTAAACAAAAGTAAGAAAATAAATTTATTTTCACTTTCCAACCTTTTACCTTCTCTCTTTCCAAAAAACAAAGGTAAAATCCAAAATTCCAAATCATATCAAGTTTCTACTACTTATATATAAGAGAGGATAAGCAACTGATGGTCAACATGCTTGGCACATAAATGGCGATTTGGTAATTTAAGTTAAAATATAGCAATATGATTGCTTTACTTTACCGTATCTTCAACATAATCTTTTGAACAATTTGACTAAATTGCCCCTGGGCTTATTTCATCAAACATCACCACACTTCTACACTCCAATCCCTCATATGGGCCCCAACGTCCCACCCTACCCAACTTTCTTCCTAATAGTTGAGTAATGCACTTAGAGGTCCCATTTATCTTTTCCATTTCTTCGTTTGATTTATATTGTTTCAGTGTTGATTGATCAGAGTAACTAATATGTGATGTTTACTCAAAAAAATAATACTTCATAATTTTAATATCTAAATGCGAATTTTTTACTTTAGTTATCTCAAAAGTGTACTTCTTTGTTGGTTCTTTCTTGGCAACTAAAATATTATTTTCTTTCACAATAATTTACATAAAAAGATTTATAGTTTAATTAAAGCTAATGTAACTTGTGAAATTGTAGTTATTTTTGCTGATAATTTATTTTTGTTTAAAAAAGTCTTTCTCATTAAAAGAATCCCTATTAAATTTATTGGCATCAATTTTATTGAGTTATCTTTTACATTGCATATATATTGTGTGCCAACATCATATTTTTAGTTTATTATTGAAATCTTACATGATCAAGCAATTAGACAAATGAACATTATTTATTAGTCTATCTAGAAGACATATATAACGAGCATTTTAAATTTATAATAAAGCACAATATTTATTAATAATGACGTCATAAGTAGGAATAAAGAAGAAAAATATACAATAAATCATAAATTACTATAATATACGTATGCAGTAAGCAAAATGAATCCAGAAAAGTATGGAATAAGAGGAGAAAAAGGGGAAGAAGGAGTACAAGCAGCTGGACTAGCAACAAGAAGACTCTACAGATAAAACGATAAAAAGGGTTAAAAAGATTCATAGTAAGAGAAAGTATGCAGCATGCAGAAAAAAGGTAAAAAGAGCACTGGGGCAAGAGTTAGGAGTAAGAAGTACACTCTTAGAGACAAATATGAGGAGGAAGAGAGTTTTTTTAAAATATATTAAAAAGAAAAAAAATAAGTTTTGAAATATCATATGGTAATTATACTATATTATTACCATTAATTCTTTATCGCCTTTGACCAAAGTGTAGTTATCTTATTTTAATTATGCATAATTTTATGTGGACTAAGTAATTAAATATACAAATAAATATATTAAATTGTATAATTACATTAAACTATACTCAAGTTCAATTACATAAATATTTTCAAACAAGCTCAGAGTTTAAATATTTGAGTTATTTCAGAAACAGAAAAAATTGTCTACTTGAAAACCGAGTTTCTATTGGCGTTCATTGTCGGAGCAAATATAATATGCTATCCTCTCATACCAAAAGTCACACGCTCGATCGATGATACCCCTTTAATACTATTAAAACCTTTCCAAAGTGTTAAGCAATTCAATTTCCCCCAATTCTCTTGCTCTATCTCTCCCAAATCGTACGATTTAGAAAACCCTAATGTGATAAATGCTACTTTAACCCCCAATTCTGCAAACCCTAGAGCTCGTAGCTTTTGATCCTCGTTAAAATTCTCCTTTTTATATCGTTTTTGTAATGAAGAATCCTACGGACGTTTTTGAGTTCAAAGTTGAGGAGCAGCCTTCGGAAACCGAAGCTAATAGGTTTTGCAGCAAGTATACATTCACCCAAAATGGTAATTTTCAGCTTTATAAATTTTTGTTGTTATAGAAGTAAACCATGGTTTCTGAACTGTTTACATTTTATTTTTTACTTTTTGGTTCATGGGTGTGTAGTAACTTTTAATTTTATGAATTGTTTTTTTATATTTATTGTAATTATATTTAACTGTTTAACTTTTTAGTTCCCATATGCGTGGGTAACTTTTAATATTGTAACTCTGCTTCTGTATTTTTCCTTCAGAAAGTATCATGTCTTTTAAAACTCTTTTATGAACATTTGGGTTCTGTGTTTTCCCCTCAGCAAGTATCATGTGTTATTAAGCTCTGTTCTGAACATTTAGGTTGTGTATTTTATTGTGTAACAACTACTTCAATCACAAGCTAGTTGAGGGTCATTTATATGAATTCTCAATTTTCATTTCCCTTCATTTAGATATGTCCCCCTAACATTGAAGGTTCTTTAAACTCTCTATTGACATGCAAATCTTAAAAAAGATTTGTTTTTTCAGCGCTCTTGTTGACTTGGATTCTGTTCCCGTTTGAGTATAAATCAAACTCATGAACTCTGGTAGATGGAGCACACTAGTATATTTTTCTTAGATCAAGAATTTGCTTGATAGAATGTTAGAGTTCGTGGTAAGTATTAGAGTAAAGTTAGCCCCTGAATGGTCAAATGTAAGATGTTAGCTGTATCTTCACATCTATTTAATACTCCCTCCGTTTGAATTTATGCGAACCTATATCTTTTTTTGTCTGTGCCAAAAAGAATGACCCCTTACCCTATCCGGAAACAATTTACCTTTATGCAATGATTTATAGCCACACAAAATATATGTGCTTCATTTTACACCACAAGTTCAAAAGACTTCTCTCTTTTCTTAAACTCCGTGCCAAGTCAAATGAGTTCACATAAATTGAAACGGAGGAAGTATCATTTATCGTCAAGTTATATATATATATATATATATATATATTTTTTTTTTTTTTTTTTTTTTTTTTTTCATTCCTTCTTTATTTTTCTCAAGTGGAATCAAAGCCTATACATCCTACCAGTGTTGTCAAAGGCGCGCTTAAGCCCTGAAGCGAGGCTCAAAACATGTTGAGCGCTTCGTCTCGCTTTGTGGGCGCTTTAGTGTCGCATCAAGGCTCTAAGGCATACTTTTCCTTGTCAATGAGTGTAATCCTGAAAATGCGACATTAAACATTTGATATTTTACTTTATCGTAATTTTTTTCAATTTCTTTGTCCATATATTTGTTATTCAACAACAACAACAACAACCCAGTAATATTTATTATTCATGCTTATAATTATTAGTCTTGGACTACATATACATATTTTTACTTTTTCTCCCGTTGCGCCCTTTTTCATTAAAGCCCATGCTTTATTTGCACTTTGCGCTTAAAGTCCCAACGGACCTTAGAGTTTTTTTGCGCTTTTCGCCTTTGATAACACTGCATCCTACGTTTCAAAAATAGATAATTTGGTATCTATATAAAGGTGGGGGCTGATCTATGAGTAGGAGATGTTGTACTAGCACCTACAAGCCCCAAATTATCAATAGGTTCTCTGAGCACATTAAAAATTCGTCCCAGTCATTTCACCTACCGGAATTCTTATAGGAGCTCCTGTCTCAATCACTTCTACTATCTGTTCCTCTTGTTAGACCGTCTGTAGCACTCATAGCTACAATGCTTACTCGATTATTTCCTAATTATTGTTGTACCCCACTAGTCATATTAATTGGTTGACTTGGTAAATTGGGAGACCGTCACCACGTCAAAGTGTTGAGGTGGATTTGGGGTCAAAGAACTAAGGGTATTTAATGTTGCTCTATTGGGAAATTGGTTATAAAGACCTGTGATAGAGGATAATGCTTTTTGGAGGGATGACTGCGGAGAAGTATGGGGTCTTGGAAGGGGGAGGAAGGTCTAAAATAGTCTCACTTCCCTACGAGTGTAAGCTATGGAGAAATATCTTAAAGGTTTTGAACGGGAAAATATCATTCTGGGTGGATTATGGGAGTAAGGTAAGTTTTTGGGGACCTTGGTGGTGCAAGAACAACATTTTGTGAATCATATTTCCAAATATGTATAGAATCTTCTGCCAAAAGGAGATGCTAATCTCAAAGATATGGAGTCTAGAACGAGAGAAGTGCATCGGATTTTGAGGTTTACGAGGAACTTACAAAATTGGGAGATTACATGATTTTTAAGTTTGGTCGAATTGCTTCACAAACTAGAAACTATACTTGATAGCCATGATGCACAAAGATGGGGGCTGGGGATAACAGAGTTTTTTCTGTTAAGTCCGACTATGAGAAGCGTTTGACTAGGGAGAAGTCAACTTTTTCACATGTCTCAACATGGGCCCCTTGGATAACGAAAAAGGTTTGCTCTTTCACTTGACTAGCTGCGAGAGGTTTGATCTTGACAATGGAGAATTTGAGGAAGAGGAAAATTACTTGTATCAAACTTATCCAAAAAAAATAAATTACTTGAATCAATTGGTGCTTCATGTGTAAAAGTTCAGGAGAAGAAGGAGAAGAAGGGCAAGGGCAGGTTTATAAGCAAAATTATGGGGCACATGAACCCATGGTCTTTCCTCAAAATTAGATATTTTATGTATATATTTTCTAAAATTGGTATAATATGAACTGTTGGCACCCATGCTTCAAGAAAGTTGAATGGTGCACTAGGTTGAGTTATTTACTAAGAGGGATAGGGATCAATTCCCACTTAATACATTTTTTCCTCCTTTTTTTAGTAGCGCACCCATGTACTAAAAATCCTAGATCCGCCTATGATTAGAAGGGAATGATCTCTTTTTACATTGTCAAAATGCATTTTGTTTGTGGTGGAAAATTTTGAGGTGGTTTGGACTTCAGATGATGATGTCAAGCACTTTAAAAAGAACAATGTTTACCTCCTTTAGCACTTATGTGGACAATATGGAGAGAGAGAAGTAGGAGAGGGTTTTATCGAGTAGAGAAGGATTTGCACACTTGAGGAATACCTTCTTATCCTTTGGTTCGTCTGTCCCAATTTATGTAATACTCTTTCCTTTTTAGTCCGTCCCAAAGGGATGAAACTTTTTTTATTTTGAGACAATTTAGCTTTTAACATCACATTTTACGCCTACTGAATGATTTATAGTCACACAATTATCTGTGCCTTGTTTTAAAGTTTCAAACTTTTTCTTCCTTGCTTATATTTTGTGCCCAGTCAAACATCACATAAATTGGGCCGCATGGAGTATTTTTTTTTGGGTGCGCACACAAGGTTCCTATGTAAAAATGATTGAGTGTCATTTGTAGAAAATCGTATCTTTTTTGTAAGGTTTTATACTTTTTCACTTTCATCCCTTTAACGGAGTTGCTGCCGCTTCTTTTTGTTTCTTCTTTCTCTGTTTCCCAGTTTGTACAAGCAAAAAAGAAATCCAAAAACAAAAGAAGACTACTATTAGTGGCAAATTAGTATTTAATACTTTCTCAGTTTCTCTGTTTCTGCTAATCTCTTGTTTAATAGTAAAAAATCAGCTTATATTTGCATTTATAAACCTTATAAAGCTTTTTTTCCCCGTTTAGTTGCTAATTGGTGTTTAATACTTTCTCTAGTTCTTCTAATCTTTTGCTAATAGTAAAAACTCAGCTGATATTTTCAATTATAAATTGATTAATGTCTCTTTTTCCTAATAACAATTTCAATGGCATTTAGCATTTAAAATATGCTAATAAGAGTATTATTTTTGTTGACTTCTTGTTTGTTTAGTTATTTTATTTATTTGTGCAATGCCATTTTGATATTCTTTTAAAATTGCGCTTCACTTCAATGAAGCAGCATTTCGCTTCTTCTCGCTTAAAGCCCTAGGGCCTTTGTTTCTTTATCGCACTTCTCGCTTTAAACAATACTGCTTTTTAGGTACAAATCTTGTATATGGGCATGTTATTGCCCCCTTTTTAATAATTTTTTTTATTATATCAAAATAAAGAGTAGACATACTGTTTCCTACGTTGAGCTCGTTTATGCTTTTGGTGTTGTGCATTTCTCATTTAACAAGGAAGGGTAGATGCAAGTCTAATAAGGATTAACTGCATGATCGAATTTGGGAGAATGACTTGACTGGTTTGTCCTCTTACCTAAGCTGTTAAAGAAGTGGAAAATATGGTTTTCTCTTGGGTGAAGTGAATTACAAAGTATGTTAGTATAGGAGCATATTTATCAATTAGATAGTAACATTTACTGCACAATTTGGATTTTGTGTAGTTGTTGTTCGAGAGTTGTGTTACTCATTAGTCTTGATTGGTACTTTGGTCAAATGAATTGATGGGCGCATTTGGTAGGTTGTTCAATATTTTTGTCGACTATCCATTTATGCATTCTTCCACCTCTATTTGTTTATGGGTTATTGGTTGTTAGGCAATTTGCAGTGACTAGTTAGATTATTCTGTAAACCCTGGTTGTCTGTTGCCTAAATAGAAGGGCCCATTGTGAGATACTTGAGGTTCTATTGGTCTACATACCTAATTTGTGATAAATTTAAGCCGGTTCCTACTGCCTGGTTCTGCTGAAAAAAAAGTAATAGAAGATCAGTCCTTTGTATTTGTGGATTCATCTATATTAATTTTGGTTCACATTTTTTATGTAAATTTGTTTGTCAACATTCATTTAAGGTGCACGAGGAACCAATATAAACTCGAAGGAGACTGGTGATGAACCTACTGTAGACATGGAAGCAGCTGACGGTGATTTCAATGGTAAAAGTGCTCGCTCAACTCTGGATGCAGAAGATTGTAGTGATGAGAGAATGCTGAGATTGGGTGGCATTCCAACAATTACTTCGACAAAACAAAGGCGATATCCTGATAGGGAACCTAACAATTGTATAGATGGAAGTTTCTTGGAAGGCAGTTCATATACTGGAACAGCTTTTCAGGAGATTTTCCATGGATCTCCTTCCAAAGTATAATGACAATCCATGTTTTTCTTAGTAGCTTTATCATTTTGATATATTTTTCTCTAAAAACGGCCATTTCAAAGATGGAATATGTGCAGGATGAATCAGTTGGCACAGATTCTGATGTTGATGAAAGCAGAAGTGATGAATCAGCATCATACTCATCTGCCACCCGAGACAATTATGGTGTGTTCTTATTGCCCGTGTCATTCTTTTACACCAATATCACAACAATTCAAATATTGTATGGTCTGCTTACGTAGCTTCTTGTAATTGTTTCAGACATCTTGGATGGACCATTATCAAATCATCAGTTTGACCAGTGGGGAATGGTAATGATAGCTGCTCAATTAATGAAAACATTAGTGTAGTGTAAATAATATCTAGCAATGAACACTCGCTAATCCTGCTCAGTTAGTAAGTGAATGATTGAAGTATCTGCAGTTGCTGGCACCAAAGTCTTGTCATTTTGTCTATGCTCTATTTCTATCGTTATTACATTTTAAAACAAACTGCATTTGCATTGATATTGTATTCTCAATGTGTAAATATAAATGTCAAAACCGATAATGATATGAAACCAGGTGAAGTTTTGCAAATATTCATGATGTACTTGTGGGAATATTGACTTTCAGGGACTACTTGGTACAAGCTCTTCATAAGGATTGCTGTTTGTTCTCTTTTATCCTTTTAACTTTGAGAAAGAAAAATGATACAGTTTTTGAGCAATAGCACTAGTGGAAGGTCCAGGTATCCACATGCTGGATATTATCTATCCTGAAAAATTCATGCGCTAGGACTTCTACTTTCAAGGATATCTGCTATTCTTTGGCCTGAAGTCTCTTAGAATTAATTATTGGTCTACAGTAGTGAACTCATTTGAAATTTAAATTATTTCATGACTTGTGCAGTTTAGTTTCTTCCATTTTATCCTTTATTTACCAATATTTTTCTATTTTGCAGTTTGAAAACAAGCCAATTGTTTTCTGTCCTGATTATCTCTATTATCGAGGAACATCCTACGCAGTCACAGACACTACAGTAACCTTTTCCAGTAATTGTGTTGAGGTCAAAGGCTCAACAATGAACGGGAATTCAGAGACATCTTGCATTCGCTTTGGAGTTGAAGACATATTCCAAATTCAATCTCATTTGTCAGGGAGGGTGAGTTTCATAGTTATTCATTTTGGAGCGAGTGTTATCTGATGCTTGCAGATGTCATGGGGCTGAAAGCTCTCATTGCTTTGTTTCCAGTTTGACGTGGCTGTGTTTAAGATCCATGTAAATAAAAGATCAACAACACAAAGTGAAAATGCTCACGAGAGTTCTGGTATGCTAACACTCATGCTCTTTTTCTTGATGTATTCATTTTCTGTTAAACTCTGGTTATATCTTAATTCTATGCTCTTCTTGTTTTGAAGTTTTTATGTTATTATGCGTAAGTGGGGATCAGTAATGGGGCTGTTTGGTCTGATTTTTGTATCCAGTCCATCCTTTCTCCCTTTCGCTCTATGGTTTTTGAGTAATGAACATAAGCATAGGAAATAAATTGAAAATATGTTTATTGTTTGGAGTTTCTTGTATGTGGACCTCTTCACTTTTGGAAGTCCTAGGGCTATGGGAATTGGGAAGTTGCTTATAACCTGCGAGAGCTGTCAAAATGGGCTGGCCCAGCCCAACCTAGCTCAGCTCACGTGGGCCTAGGCATTTTTATGGGTACTTTTGGTATGTGCCTAACAATCTTTCTTTCTTTCTTAAACTCCATGCCCAATCAAATGCCACCATATAAAATAGTGGAGAATTACTATTATATAAAATAAAAAACGCAATGAAATAACTTTTTTCGTTGTTGCAAAGAATCAAACCATTCTGTATAGATGACGTACTAATTATAGGTAACAGATTCCGTATTGGACAAAGATAATGTAGAAGAAATCAAGCCTCTTACTACTTTCCAATAATGTAGACAATATCAAGCTATGTTGTCGCGCAAGTTTACTCTTCTGTCCTTCCTTTTGATGGTACCTGTCTTCTTTCCTCTCACCATTGTATATTCATGTCTGTGTTGCCGTTTGTATCTACATAATGCTTCAGTCTCGTCAGTTTGTTTCTTAGAATGTGATTTGGTTTCTTCAACTTTATCCATTGTATATTCACATCTATATTGCCTTTCTTATATACATAGTGTTTCAGTCTCGTCAATTTGTTTCTTGAGCTTTTTCCAAAAAAAAAAATTGTTTTGGTTTCTTGAACTTTCTCTGTTATATATTCACAACTCTAATGCCTTTCTTATGTATGTAATGCTTCAGTCTCGTCATTTTGTTTCTTCTAAAGTGTTTTGGTTTCTTGAACTTCCACCTTTTTGGCAATCTCATTGATAGAGAGGCAAAATATCTCCTTGTCCTCTCTAGATTCTCTTCACAATTTTAAGCTTCTACCCCCACTGGATAGTAGAGTTTGGTCTCAGGAACCTTCAAGCCTTTGTACTTGCAAGTCTCTTCTCTTAACTGCTTTGTCTTAGGAACCTACTAGATTTTATTTTGTCTTAGGAACCTACTGGATTTTATTCTTCTTTTATTTCAAAAGTGAAGGTTCCTTCCAAAACTAAAGCTTTAACATAGTCTGTATCGAATGACAGGCTAAACACTTGTGATTTGCTTCAAACTCAGAGCAAATAATGGTTATTTCTTCTAACTAGTGTGTAACGTGTAAAGAACTAAGCATATCAATGAGTTTCATGCACACTAGATGATGCACTGCTCTTTGCAAAGGAAGTCTCGAGGACATTATCTGCAATTATGGGGGAACCGTATGTCCTTTTTGATGAGATTTTGTGGCTTTGTAGTTATTGCAGAAGGCAAAACTTTGTTGGAGTATGCTATATTTGCAGTTCTGAGATGAATTTGGATTGAGTGAAATGCATTATTTGAAGTTAAAACTAGTCCAACTTTGGTTTTGGGCCCAGTAGTTTTGGCATTGAAATAGTGCAAGGCAGGAAGATAGGATCAAATGACATCCAAAGGGGCAACACTCATTCTTGTATACTCTTATTTGCTTTAAAACTTTTGATGTTGCTTTTTGAGGATAGCGTGACGCCTAGGCCTTGTTTGATTCTTCATCAACATTAATAATTAATGTTTTTTCGTAAGAATCATGCTTTTATAATGTAAAATGATATTACTAGAAAGAATAATAAAAAAATATAAAATTTTTATTGAAATGAATTTACTCTCCATCTCCAAGAATAATATTAACATCTTCATTGTGACCTCTAAGAAAATGCAGAATCACATGAATCATGTGATCGTGACACAATACATTGCAGAACTGCAGGATACTGATGGGTTCACTCACTAAATGAATATTTTAAAGCAGGATATCTTTTTCTTGAAGTATTCAAGCAGAATATGGCAGTAGAAGTATCCGGTATCATAACATACGACAACTATGTTTGAGTCTTCAAGCATACTCTGTTAAACATTAGAGCATTTATTTTGCTGTCTACAGCTTTTACTCTCAAAGTTGTATATTCCTTGCAATGACCACCAATTAGCGTGGAGCTGTTTCAGAAATCTAAAATCTGGTTAAGAGTTCAGGGCGGATGTTGCGCTGAAACGTTAGCAGTATTGTGATGTTGTTCTACCAGGTTCTCTAACCTAAGTTCAGCTGCAGGAGGACAGCAGATCTTGGTTGATGCTACATTTGTTTAGGGCTGAATTAGAGCTGAAACTGTTAGGAAAATTAGAGCCTTTCATATTGGAAAATCACTGAATTTGGAGGGTCAAATATTCAGGTTTTTAGAGCTGCTTAGGTTGGTCTGTCGACGTGCAGTGATTTGGAATTTTAGGAGGGAAACCATAAGATTGAAATCTCTGAAAATCCTGTTGCATTCCCTAGGAATGTCCCAAAGATGAGGCTGAATAAAGAATTAAAGAAGCAACAAATGCTTGCTTTGAATCCATATGAATGTAATCATGATCTTTCACCATTTCAAGTTCCAGGTACTGCATAAAGCAAGGATTTTTTTATAACTTCGCTTCTTTTCCACTTAGAAGTGCAAATCAAATAGGAAAGATTAATAAAATGAACTTAAGGCCTTATTGCCATATTAAGAGCAAACATGTTGAGAGATCTAAGGTTGTAGGGCAACTTCAACTCTAGAAACTTAAAAAGAAAACTGAAAAACTTTAAACAACTTATATTCTTAGTGTTAAACCTTTGACGCATGCTACAAGATAGGTCCGTATATATTAATTTTTCTTCTTTCTTTCTCCACTTGTGTTTTATATTTGTCTTTATAGAAAGGCTTGTGTTATATATACATTGATGCAACATGTCTAAGAGAGTATGAGGTGGTTTAGTGTTTGCTGCTTGTTTCCTTGAAATCCCTATGGTCTCCCCTGATAAATTTGATCTTGCCTCTGGTAATGAATGCTGAAGTGCTTAATGTCAAAGGTATTGAGGAGGTGGAGTTTGCTGTTAATGATTTTGACTTGTCCGAGAAATGTGAAGCAATTCAATCTTTGGATGGCTACAAAGCAGTATGGAACTAGTGAGTCCTTTCAATCACCTTTTCTCACTTGTGCTATTGCTTTTGGTTGCAGAATTAATGTGTATATTAATTCCTCTTATGTTTTTGCTAGTTTTTGTTGAATGATGGGTAATTTTTGCCTGTTGAACTGGATTTTGAATTGTTATTAGTTCTAATTACTGGGGCTAATTCTCCGTGGAGTAACATTTTCTCATTCTTCTTTAGTTAAGAGGAAAAAATTACTGCTAGAGACATATGAATCTGGCTGCTTTACTGTGTTCTAGAGTTTCTTGTAGACTGAAATGCTTGGTTTCTTACTCCACTTTCATCCTCAGCTGGTTGGTTCTACCTCTTGATTTTAGTGCAGTGTTGTTTTGATATTTTAATAAGTCCCAGTTCTATCCATTTGCTGACAATTGCTTATTATTGGACATCATGACACTGCCCTTTCCAAATGCATGAACTTTAACATTGCTTCAAGCTCCATCAAGACACTGAGCTTGATTGATTCAGCGACTCTGCGTACCTAGGACTTAAGCTCTTCATTTATTATTTATATGTTGTAGTTGTGTTATTCTGCTATAATCTTGATCCACCTGGTCATGTAGCAATGAGATTGAAGAATGGAGGGAGAATTCACATGGAGAAACATCAAATCAGCAATCTAAGAAATATTTTCCAAGGTTAGTGAAGCGGTTTGTTATACTCTCTGTCTTTGCTGGTGGAGATTTGGATTCTGTTACATGAAGGGTCTCTTTTCTTATTTGTGTTAATAGTTGTCTTGTATCCATACTTTCTTATGCGATTTTAGTGATATTACTTTGGCGGATGCTTATAACTTGGTAAAAACACTACCCTTTCTCTGTGCATGTGCAGTATGCAGAGCCATGACTTTGGTACACAATATTTGGTTTCCATTTTATGGATGTTCTTTATTCTCATTCCATCTTTGACTTAGTAAATTAATCTTGTGGTGAGGGTTTCTTTGTCTTGGATTCTTTTCTCTCTGAAACTCTAGGTATATGAGCTATAATGGTCGAACTTCTGTCCAACAACTAGCCTTTTCCCCATATTCCTTATGCAATAGGTGATCCATGTTTTGGCACCTCCATGTTGTCCTTTTTCTTCTTTTTTTCCCTTCCTATTATGGTATTTATTCATTGAGCTCTTATCTTTGACTGGGTAACTTAGTCCTGTAGCAGTAGGCAATGAGAATTTGGATGTTGATATATCTAAGCTGCCTAAAAGATATTCTCCCAGTTGATTGAAACAGTTTGTTCTCCTTTGTATGTGGAGATTTGAGTGCTGCATTGCTTTTCTATCCAGGCTTTCTCGTTTCTTATGTGTCTGTGTGTCTTTTCTTAGGCAGAGTTTAACACATCGGGGTTCATTGCGGGGTTCATTGTTTCACATAATGATCATCAAAATGGGGTGAAAATACCCATGCTGTTTTGATTAAAAAAAGGTTTATGCAGCAACTGTGAAGATCATCAAAATGTTATAAACCACTAACTTCATAAAAGAAAGAATCACCCAAGAAGGTAACTACATTGCTGAAAATCAGAGCAGCATGCAGGATCAGCCAATCAAAAGAACCAATGTATACATAGGACCCGTTTGGCCATGAGTTTTGCCAAAATAAATTTGGGATTTATTTGGCAAACACATGTTTGGCCATAGATTTTGCCCACATTTTGGCAAAATCCCAAATCCCAAAATCACCTCAATTGCTGATTTTGGGCCAAAACATGATTGTTACATTTTTAAATTATTTTAAATATTACCCCAAACTTTTATAATTTGTAAAAGAGCCCACATTTATTACGACCAACTAAATATTTGATGAATATGCTCCCTTATCAGCTCAATCCTTTGTGCATCTTACTTTTGCTTCTGATTTGTAGGCTAAATGGCTTTCTGAACACTCATATCAGTTAACTTTTTCTTCTTAATTAGGAGCCGTAATTTTCTAATGGGATTTCACTGTAATTAATGATTTATATAGTTCATTATAAAAATGATAATTTTGTACCAAACTTATTTAAGTTCAGGGCTATGGTTTGTGATAATGATACTATTGGGTATTTGTGATAGTTTTAGAACTTGTGGGTATAAGTCATGTTTCATGTTTTTTCAAATAAAAAGTGAAATATGTTTTGAAAAATCATGTCCAAACACATTTTCATCTTCAAACCAAACTTCACCCAAATCAGATTTTTCAAAACAAATTTGGGAATCTATGGCCAAACGCTAGCATAGTAAACCCCTGAGTAAATTTGGTTTTGGCACTGTTTTGGAGCGGGAATGAACTAAACTTTGGCAAGTGGGCGCCTGGGCGGTAGGACTTAACCCCACGAACCGGTCCAAGGTTCGAGGCTCAGATTCGCTGCACTGTGGTGGGCCCAACCTGGCCTGACTCAGCTCCTAGGGGGCTGAGGCTGTCCACCCCTTAAAAGCCCTAACTTGACAGGCCCAGTATACGGTTTAGCTCGAGATCTGCCAAGCCCACTTCCCTCAAGACAAAGGTATTCTTTAGGATGCTACTTTTAAGATATGACCCTTATCTTGTATTTCCAAGTTTAAAGGGTGCAACCAACTTCATAGAAAAGGCTTTTTGTGAAAAAATACACACCTTCGGTACATGTAACTTAATTACTATTTAAATTTATGACTTAATACAAATTAAATAGTTGCTATTGAAAAATTAACATCATATGAATAATCATTATTAGATTAACATTCTTACAAGTTACAAGGAATATGTTTGATCCCTTGATCTTGTATTTCCAAGTTTAAGGCCAAAATCAATTCCACCAAAAAAGAGAGGCTCTTTATTTAACAAAGCTCACACCTTTAATAGAAATAACTTATTTACTGTTGAAATCTATGAATTTTATACAAATTACATATTCACAATGAACACAATTAGCGTCACATATAAATAATACTGTAAAGTAAGATAATAGTTGTCGAAGAAGTTAGCTGAAACCAAGATAGACGTACGATACAAAGGAGGAACTGCAAGAGAAGGGGTAAAGAATGGATCACAACTTGGAAGGGTTAGAGAAGAGAGAGAGAGAGAGAGCACAAGACCCCGAGCCGGATTTTAGAGAAACTTAAAGAAAAAGAGAGTTTCGAACCTTAAAATCGTTGTTCCATTGTAAACTATATATTAGATTTGAATAAAGGAGATGGTGTAGAATGGACGTGGGTTCTACCTAGATGGAGTTGTACTTGTATCATTATCAAGAGTAGGTCGTTGGTGAAGATGACATGTGCTGGTGCATGGCTCGGCATTGACAACAAAGAAAAGGCACGCGAGCCTCAAAGGCTTTGGTTCAATGGCAGAGCACAATGCATTATGTGCGGGTTAGATGCAAGTGACGAGTTCGGATCCTGCCGCAGACAAAGGCTTGGTATTTTAGTAAAGAATGATAGAGCGCGGGCCCATTATCCATTGTTTTTGAATTTTGCACTAGTTGGCCCTTGGGGATTTGTCGATTATAAAACAAAAGAGGCACATTTTCTCACACACGATGCTGGTGATGGTTTAGGTTGTGGCTGGGTTATATGTTTATATAAGAGGTGCGATTCAAAGATCTTCGACTAGAGATTAATTGAAGATGTGGTTTTAGTATGTTCATTAGAGTTCTATAATGGATTCGTTTTTTATTTTTTCGGTGAATAGAAGAAGGGATTTTTTTATTTATTTGATAGGGGATATAGAGAAGCGACTTAACTAACTCTGGTACCATGTGGAAAAAGAAGAGAAGAGGAGAAAGAAGAGGTGTGGAAAAAGACGGTTAAAAGATTTTGGTAATGTCTAGATTGATCATTTCCTCAAGCCGTTGTGGTTCAAATAGTTTGTAAAGATGCTCTAAATTAGGAAATAATACATAGTGATAGTAATTGATATCCCTAATTGATCCCTAATTACCTTTAATGTGCATGATATTTTTAATCTAAATTCATATTTACAGAATATCTGTGATTGCTTTCAACGAAAGAAAACTATGACATCGCACTGCAGTTATGTGTAAGGATTAAAGAATAGAATTTTGGCTCTGCTCCTGACATGTTCTCCCAGTTGCAAACTAACCCATTTTTAAGTTATGGTTGTTAATCTGGTAAAATTCAGGATGTCCATATTAATCCTTTTCAGTGTACTTTTACTGGGCCTCACTAGGAAGTAGTTCAAGGACAGACTTCTTGGTGCAATATTTATAAAATTAATGTTGAATTATAAAAGGGACCCTTTTTGGCTTGTAAAATTTGGTCTTTCTCATTTGAAGTGTTAGTGGTAATTAGATATATAATAAAAAGCAAGATTTCTTTTCGTACTATCTGATGCTGAAGAAATTCAAACTTTGCAGTTACGGTGAGCCGCTTGAAGAAGTTTATTATCCTAAAGGAGATCCTGATGCTGTTTGCATTAGTAAAAGGGACTTTGATCTTCTGGCACCAGAAACATTTGTCAATGATACAATTATTGATTTCTACATACAGTAAGTTCTCTGATTGTCATAGTCATACCAACATATAATTTTGGCCTACAATGAAGAATCATTGAATATTCTGAAACTAGTCACCTTGCTTAGTGCATGCTTCGTACATTTTCTTTTCTTTGTTCTCACAGAATTGAACAATATGTGAGGACTGTTGATTTATATTTTTTTTCCTTTGACTTTAAACTTAATTTCTTGGTTTGCTTTGTGCCACACCATTCTCATTTGGTATGAATTGAAACTCAAAATACTGACAGGTATTTAAAGAATGGAATTCCACCAGAGAGGAGGCAACGATACCATTTCTTTAACTGTTTCTTTTTTCGAAAGTTGGCTGACATGGATAAAGATCCAACCAGTGCATTTGATGGCCGTGCTGCTTTTTTGCGTGTCCGTAAGTGGACAAGGAAAGTGGACTTATTTGATAAGGACTTTGTTTTCATTCCTGTAAATTACAAGTAAGAAATGTGAACTTCTGTTTTCTGTAGAGGTGCTCTTTTGTAGTTAGTCGTAAGTAACTTATCTCGTGAACTGACAGTTATCACTGGAGTCTGATTGTCATATGCCATCCTGGTGAAGTGGCTAACTTTACAGGCAAGTCCATTCTGTTTTGCTTGACTTTTGCATTTGCCTTACTGTTTTTCCTAAGAAATTGTTTTGTGTCTTTTAGATGATGATACTGCAGTTGGCCCAGTCAAAGTACCATGTATATTGCACATGGATTCTTTTAGAGGAAGTCATGTGGGTCTCAAAGATCTTCTGCAAAGGTAGCAGTTTCCCACTAACCAGATACTAATATTTGAGAGAGTTCTTCAATGTTTGCCAGGGTACCATGCAAGAATATCTGACAAGCAGGGGTAGTAGGCAGTGATGCTTGAATTATCACTGGTCGTATCACTACCAAGCTGTATAGTTTTTATGGATGTTTTTATAAACTGAAAGTTTAGATGCTACAATTTTTTCTATCTTGTCTTTAGGAAAGCAATGAGTGCATATGGGGTTGAGATTATGCAACCACAGGCAATTGCGTTCTAATAAACTAGGTGTTTATGGGGTACATATGTCAGGCTCAGCCTAAGCGTACTCATTAAATTGGCAATCATAACTATTGTATCATCTTAGGAATCATTTGGTTCAACGAAAGTTATACGGGGATTATATACTGGGATTGTAATATGGAGATTAACAATCATGAGATTATTTTGTGCATATGTATGTATATACGGTGTGTAATCTTAAATATGTGTTTGGTTTTGAATGGTATAATATTTGCTTACTATTATACCCCTGAGATTCTTAGTAACATTTATTTGGATTAAAACAATGCTAATTCCCATGTAAAGCCTTCTCAGTTCATTGGAACTAGAAGGAATTGATTGGATCCAATATCGACTACCTTAGAAATGTGGATAAATAAATAAATGATAAATAGTACAAAACAAGAAGAAAGATCATGTTTCCTTCTGTTCTTTGTTCTCACCTGGAAAAGCAACTATAATAATAAGTAGCAGTCATTTGAGGAGATTGTCTTCAAAGTTCTTTTTTTCTCATTAGGTGTGGAGTAGTTGGATTTGGAAATTTTTATAGAGCAACTATTAAGATAGAATCAGTTGTTTGTTGATTATACAGATATTTGATAGGAACCTCGTCATGCTCCAACTCTATAGTCGTGCCTCAGTGTCAATCACTTTTCTGAACAATTATATACCCTGCAGAATCATCTGCTTCTCACTTAAGTCTTTATGCTACCCACCCTGAACCGAAGAGGAGTAGGGGAAGATAGACTTAATGATAAAAAAGATGCTTGAAAGATGTTTTATGTAAACAATGCAATCTTTCTACTTCATCAGAGGCTTAATGTTACAAGTTAATTCAAAGTTTTAGCTGGCATAGAGGCACTTAAAAGTTGTATCGTATTGCTTCAATACTCTATGCTGCTGCAGAATCTAATGAGTGTTGTCATTTCCATCTTAGTTTGCAGTTATTTTCCTTGCAGACAGCATCAAATTGACTGAATTTGACTTCAATGCTGTCTTAATTTCCTCTTTTAATAACAGCTACCTCTGGGAGGAATGGAAAGAGAGGACAAAGGAAACGTCTGATGTTGTCTCCTCAAAATTTCGAAATTTGAGATTTCTCTCTCTTGAGGTACAAGCTGAAGTTTCATTGCCCATTCCTATAAATTATTTGCATTCCCATACAAATCTTGTCTCATATGAGGAATTTGAATGTTCAGTATGAGAATAAATTTCAAGTTTATGAGATGATGTAATTTTACCTTCTTTGATATTGCCTTTCTGTGTTAGAGACATGGTCTCTAGTTGATTGTGATGCTAGTTGGTTAAGAATTGTGGTTGTCATCATCCTCATGGACTCCTTGATACAAATGTTTTGATATAAAATTCACTGAGGGGGAATGGTATAAAGGTAAAGTGCATCGGATGTATGACAAAATTTATTGGATAAGAATCACTATGAAGTTGAATTTTCGTAGCAAAGTTCTGTTTTCGGTAATATCATTAAAATCTGTTCAAGTGTTCATATCCTACCACGTCAAAGGCTGTGGTTTGAAAGAATTTGTACTTCCAAAATTACATTGGAGCCAAATCATTGATTTGTGCATCTATGGTCTTTAACATAACTAACTTTGTCCTAAATTGCCAAGTGGTTTATTGTGAGGCTGCAACTTAGCTTAATGTGGATGTTTTTTCCTCTCCTTTTAATAATATATAGATTGCAAAGGAGAAATGTAATCGAAGAGTCTGAACAAAACAACATATACCCTTTTTTGCTACCAGGGAAAAACCCTTTGTCCCATATGATCTAAGATATCTTGCTTGCTTCTTCAGGTTAATTGAGAAGTTACCGTTTTTCTTCAAAACTTTTTCTGTGTATCATATTACGTATAAAAAAGATCAGATACACTTCTAAATGAAGAGCAGAAGTTCAAGTTATTATAGGAGCTGATTTTATGCCTACTTTGGACCTACTTGGATATAGAGAATTATTCTTGCCTGGAAGTTCAAATTATTATAAAAGTTGATTTGATTACCAACTTCAGACACAATTGCATTTAGAGAATTGTTCTTGTATTACTGCCTCTGTGTAATAAAAGTTGGTGTCATTGTTAGTGCTTTGTATACAATGATTTAATGGATGATACAACAACAACAAACCCCGTGTAATCCCATAAGTGGGGTCTGGGGAGGGTATTGGGTATGCAGCCTTACCCCTACCTTGAGATGGTAGAGATACTATTTCTGATAGACTCTCGGCTCAAGGAAATATGAAAAAAGAAGCAGTAGCAACAAGCAGTAACACCAGGAAGATAATAAGAAAGCTGAAGCGAAAGAAATAGCAGGTAGTAATAGAAATCTAAGAGTAAGAAAATACAAGACTAACACTCATACCACTGTTATGGACAAGGTCATGTACTCGGTAAGTTGAAACAATGCCATATCCTGCCTTATTACCTCTCCTCAATATTATTTTGGCCTACCTGTACCTCTCCTCAGACCCACCAAGGCCAACCTCTTACACCTCCTTACTGGGGCATTTGTATTTCTCTTCACATGCCCGAATCATCTTACCCTCGCTTCACGCATCTTGTCCTCCACGGGGGCTACACCTAATCTTATCTATCTTGGTATGCCCGCACATCCATCTCAACATCCTCATTTCTGCTACCTTCATCATCTGAACATGCAAGTTCTTGACTAGCCAAAACTCTACTCCATACAACATAGTCGGTCTAATCACCGCTCTGTAGAACTTAGCTTTAAGTCTTGGCGGTACATTCTTATCACATAAAACACCGGATGCAACCTTTCATTTCGTCTACCCCGCTCCAATACGATGTGTGACATCCTTGTCAGTCTCCCCATTTCTTTGGATTACTGATCCAAGGTACTTGCAACTCTTCAACTATATGGAACGGGGTCATTGAGAAATTTGAGAGAAGATTAGCCTCCTGGCAGATGCAATACCTTTCTATGGGTGGTAGACTCACACTAATCAATAGTTTCCTAGACAACATTCCCACATACTACATGTCACTACATCATATGCCCAACAAAGTGTTAAATTGTTAAATCAGTTGGACTGGATAAGGAGAAATTTCCTTTGGGAAGGGAATAACACTGAGCATAAGTTTCATTTGGTGAAGTGGAAAAAGGTCATCCTCCCAAAACACCAAGGAGGATTGGGAATCAAGGACCTGGCAATTCACAACAAATGCCTACTGATGAAGTGGCTTTGGAGGTACACACAAGAGGAGCAACCTTTGTGGAAGATGGTGGTCAATGCTAAGCACGTAACTCAAGGCAATTGGTGCACTAAACTCACAAGAGTACCCCATGGGGTGGGAGCGTGTAAGTGCATACGCAGATTGTGGGAGAAATTCTCTGAACACCACCACCTTACAATTGGAAATGGGCAACAAATCAAATTTTGAAAGGATAAATGGTTTGAGAATTCAGCCCTAAGGATTGACTATCCTAACCTGTTCCAAATTGCAAGTGATTCCGACTCTACATTCATTCAAAATAAGGATGGCCCCATTTGGAATGTTACTCTAAGAAGGAATTTGCAGGACTGGGAGGTTTCTGATTATGTTCGACTGTTAGAGGCACTACATGGCAAATTCCTTTCTTGCAAGAGATGAGGATGGAATTACCGATCTTTGGCCATGGAAATTAATATGGAGAACCAGACTACCACCCGAGGTCATCTGCTTCAGCTGGACTGCACTTTATGAGGCATGTTTGACTCAGGAGAACCTTGTTAAAAGGAACTTCCAGTTAGTTAATAGATGCTACATGCGTCAAAGGGATGTAGAAACCAACAACCACCTATTTCTACATTGTAGAGTTGCAGCAGATATTTGGAGCATGTTTTGCTCTATTTTTGGTATTAGCTGGGTTATGTCTCACAACATGAAGGAGGCATTTCAGAGTTGGGGCAGCTGGAAAGTTGATAAGACCATCAAGAATATCTGGAAAATGATACCTCGTTGTATTTGTTGGAGCATATGGAATGAAAGAAATAGAAGATGCTTTGATGGACTTTCAACTCCTAACCACACCCTAAAAGCTAAATGTCTTTTGTTTTTATTAGCTGGGCAAATGTTTCCCCTGTAGATTCCCCCGAAACATTTGTGAACTTTGTTAGCTCTTTGTATCTAAGTTAGCATATATGTAGTAAGCTAACAAGTGATCTTTTTTTTTGCTTTTTGAAGCTTCTATGCTTCTGCTGCTTGTAATATTTTGCATCTTCTTGATGACATCAATGAAGACAATTATTTCATCCAAAAAAAAAAAGAAGGTACTTGCAACTTCCTTTCTTGCAAGAGATGACTTGTGGATTAAGCCCCACATCCACGTCCACGTCCGCTTCATGAGCCATGTGACTAAACTTGCACTCCAAGTTTTTTGTCTTGGTCTTGCTCAACTTGAAACCTTTAGACTTCAGGGTTTAAAGGTTTGTTAAGAAAATAAATCACCTGTAGGTCCCTTTTCCAAATTAAAACTAATATCTCACATCGATAGTACCCAATGTGACGACTTCCCCTATCTTTGCAGAATGCGCTTAGTGTGACAGCTTCTTAAATCAGTAACTTTTTCCTCACTCCTCAATGCTTTCTGCGAATAATAAACACAAGACACCTCCGACTAAAAAATCTAAATCATTATTAATTTTGGGCATAGGACTACATTTTATAAAACCTGTGGTAAGCAATATTTTTGGATTGTGTTGTTGTAGACTAAGGATGCAATACTTTATCTTTAGCATAGAATGTGAGTCATGTTACCTCTATTTGGGCCTTCAAGAATTTGGGCATGTTTAGTGTGAATTGTGAAGAGAAATCTGAGGTTGATGGGCCGGTTCTTGGACCCAAGTTACTGGTTCACCTGTCACTTAACTGATAAAAATTAAAGCTCTCTAATGTTTCTTTCACTAAGAAATTATTTATTTCTCGACTCTTATGCTTTGTTAGTGCATCTTTGGAGAGAGTACCACCTTACTTGCATTTTCTCTTCACCGATTGTAGCTACCACAACAGCAAAATCTATCAGACTGTGGTCTCTTTTTACTACACTATGTGGAGCACTTTTTGGCGGAAGATCCTGCTTGTATCAGTCCATACAGGATAAAGAACTACCACAATGAATTTGTAAGCGTGCTTGATTTGCACTTCAGTGTTATTCTTCAAAGTTCTTCAATTTTTGTTGTCTTCCACAATTTTAAATCACTTATTGCATATGAATGGACATTAATTTTTTGATTTCCTCTATTCTGATTTGATGCCTATCCTAAGGTGTATTAATTGTTGAATCCTTTAACCTGTATGGGAAATGTAGTCTCAGAAATAGAAACCTTCTTCAGTAAGATAGTTTTGAGACCACTTGGAAGAATTCTCTGTCTGATATGCATTAATGTGAGACAACAATGTTGAGCTGCCTTTACATCTCTGTTATCTTAGTTGTATTTGATACATGTTAATCGCCTTTAACAACTGTGTTTTTTGCGTGTATGTGCGCCTGATGTACAATTTGGCATTAACTGATATGCATTAATGTGAGACAACAATGTTGAGCTGCCTTTACATCTCTGTTATCTTATTTGTATTTGATACATGTTAATCGCCGTTAACAACTGTGTTTTTTGCATGTATGTGCGCCTGATGTACAATTTGGCATTAACTGGTTGCAGTTAATATTTGTTTTGTGGTGACCAAAAACTTGGTTTCCCTGCGTTAGTGAATAAATAATGTACTATCCCCTCTTATGTCTTGTGGGAATCTGCTCATTACCTTTTGTCAGGCAATAGGTGCATAACCACCCTATGTTTTTGAACAGCCATTAACCCGTTCTCCAATTTGTGACAAAAACAAGCTCAGAAATGCAATCAGCCCTGTGTCTTTAAATGTGGTTTTGATGGGTGGGATTACCTATGTGTCAAAAATCACTAGGAGTAGGAGAGCAACTCCACTCCAATTTCTTTCTCAAGGTGCGGTGATTTACTTAACTAAAAGTAAGGAAGTAATTAGTACTATATTGCATCAAGCGTGCTGCTGCTTCAGATTGCTTCTTCCTTATTTTGCTTTCACGAGCAAGTGATCCTGAGAAGATATTGTGCATTCTTACAATAGTACTATGGTTATTTAGAGTTTCATCTTTATTGTTAAATGAAAACTTTGGTGCACTTCTTAATTTCTCTCTTAACCAGAGTATATTGAGCATTAAATTTTTTTACTGGACTTATTTATGCTACTGGTTGCACCATCTGTGACCACCCATTCTCCCAAGTTATAGAGAAGAAAGAGCAACGGAAAAGAGATAAAGGAGGCAACTGCATATGAGTGGATTATGGGTAGGCTTGATATATTTCAGACATTTGTGCCATGTCAATCGAACTATCTCCTGGGTAAAGAAAGGAGAATCTAGAAAAAGAACTCCTCTCCCTGCTGTGAATATGAAGAAAATAGATCTTTTCCAAATTGAGGAACTTGGTCTTGATTAAACAGAGCTCTCTGCTACTTCCACATAGCTGACATAGTATAGTGGTTACCTTGCTTAGTGTAGCATTCGTCCTGGTTAGCAAAGTCCATATCCTTAGATCTCGGATTGGTATACTAATTTTCTTTCCTTCTTCCCTTCTGCTAGCATCATTCTTCTCAGTTCTATTTTAGTGACTTCGATTATTTTATTATGCTGTTTATGCGTTTGTTTCTTGCATTCGTTACTCTTTTCCGGATTCTTGCTTGTATGCTTTGGGAATTTATTTTTGGAATTTTGTTTCTTTGAGTTGATGAGTTTTCATGCATACTAATTACTCTACTTTCTTTTGAATTCAGCTTAGCGTAAACTGGTTTCAACCTCATGAGCCTTCTATAAAGCGCAGTGCAATTCAAAGACTAATCAGTAACCTCCTCAAGAACCTTTCTCTAGAAAATTCTCCCTCTTGTGCGAGTGACAGTTGTTATCCTGAAGATGGTCTCAAGACAAGCAATTATGATGAAAATGCTGTAGAATTAGTATCTGAGCAATTTGGTTCATCAAAGAGTTCAGACAATTTACCATGTTCTCAAGCTAATGAGATAAACCCATTTCCTACTTCCTCCCTCAGGGGTGTTTGTGCTAGTGATTCAGGCCTTGTTTTGAACGAATCTTTTGAGCCTGAATCTGATGAAGAGTCATTGCTTGACATGCGCTTTGGTCACTCAGCATCTTTTAACGAGTTTAGGAGTTCGTTGCCACCAATACAGGTATGTTGTTATATATCGGCAACTAGTTTAATAGTTCTCAAATTGGTAGACATAAACATGAAAATAAGTACCTATGGTTATAATGTAATCTTCAGATCATGAAGTTCATCATTGTCCTATTTCCTTTCACTTTGCCCTTTCCTTTTGGTTTCAAATGAGAAAGAGGGTGGTGCTATCTTCTACGAGCAGTATACTGATTATTGATGCATAACATAGAAAAAGCTAGCTACTTCATTGAATATGTTCTTAGAATATCCTTGGGAACTAGGAAGTATTTATGGTTTAGTGAAAGATAAATTTCTTTTCCTTTTTAAGCTTATTTTGAAGAAACTGAATGATATGGTTTGATTTATAATCTAATAACAGTATGTTAATATAGTTTCTCTATATAAAAGAGTAAATTATAATATAAGGGATAACTTTGCGACTTGTGAATTTAATTATAGCTTTGTTACATAGAAGTTAAAAGAGGTGAGGTTTAAATGCATGCCTCCAGTGAAAAAAATTCAAGTATAATTTCTGACACAAAATAGAAAACAAAAATTTAACATATAAAGGACTAACTTATTTAAGTTATAAAATAATTTATTTACACTAAATATCAATGAATGGAAGTTTGTGTTATATCTGAAACCATAGGGGGTATGTGTTACATGCTGAAATCTCAGGGGAGGTTTGTGAAATTATCTCTAAAAAGTAAGAATAAATATAATAATCATATTGAAGAAGGAATTGAAAATTCAATTAATTGAAACATATGAAGTAAAAGCGATGTCAAACAAGTTCAAAAATCATTTTTAATTTTTTTAATTCAGATGCAAATTTCTAATTCAATTAGTGACTAATTCTTCTACTAAAGTTCTAATTTCCTGTCCTAATATTCTTATATATTCATCTAAACTTTCCTTAACAATTAGTGTGTCGCTTGTCATATGTATTATTGTCTAATGTTGTCTTCTCTAAGAACAAGTTATGGGCATTGAGGTGTACGTGGTGCCTGCACTATATTGCCGGTTTAGCAAGGCGAACGACCTACCCTATGTTATACCAAGAGTTAGGGGCTGGTGCGTGTATAAATGGCCTTAGCGACACCTGCTTTTATTGCGCGGCTGAATAATTACTTGATTTTCTTTCAAACTTGATGTGTGGCATTTAAAACTATTAGTTTAAACACTTTGCAGCAAAATTCAGTAAAATGATAATATCACCAAAAAGAAATAATCTACAACTCCTTGGAAAGAAAATTGGATCCATCATAGTGGGATGAGGTACAGTAAAATTAAGTGAGTCCATTTCCAGCAATTCAAACAGTGCCAGTGATTTGGCCATCTTTTGCTACATTTGAATGAACTTGTCTTTGTACAATTTTTGCTTTAAATAACTTGATAACTGTCAACTTTTTTTTTGATATGGTAAAAGTTGATAACTGTCTACAAATTGTTTATCTCAAAAACAGCGTAAAGGTTAAATTGGAGTTGATATTATCAAAAAATTCCAAGATTTTTTCTGTTATTCCGAGTTCCAACTGACATTTTTTCCGAAACTTATCTCAAAACTAACACTTGTATTGTCACTATCATGCGTTCCATGTCACAATAGCAAATTGAAATGTTACATGTCAGTTCTTTTGTTTCTCCCTTACAGGCCCCCAAGCCCATTTTCCCAATGGCCCATATTTACCCTCACCAATCCCAGCTCTTCAAAGTTGCAGCTCTTCCCCTCAAGCCCCTCTCTTTCATTAAATGATAGGCCTGTAGCTAGGACACACATTAACATAATGATCGAATGCTTTAAAAAATGCTCCCTAGATGCACTTGAATCCATTGATTAAGTTTGTCTGTGTGTGGGTGAAAGAGAGAAATTGAGAGAGAGAGAGAGAGAGAGAGCTGTGCAAGCGAGGAACAGAGAGGTGATGGCAGGTGAACAGAAGCTCTGTTAATCATACAGGCATCAGAATTAATTTTTTAACATTGCAGCCTGACATCTTTTCTCTTATGTATGTAAGAATCTTAGTGTTAGTTTTGGAATTACTTTTGAACACGTGCTGGGATGAGAGTTATATATAATGCAAGTCTTTATATAGAACTTTTGCAAAGATTCCCTTTCTGAGAATTCCTTAAAAATGGACGGTGTTCTGTTATCGTGGTCATTTATGATACTGGTTCACCTTTTGGACATCAAAGGAGTAATCTACAATGCATCTTGTTGACCGCTCCTGCTTGCTTTATTTTTGCTTGGATATTAGCCAGTTGTCTAAGTTGGATATCTGATGGACTGATTTTTGGTTGTAACATTCCACTTTGCTAAAGGGTCTGATTCTGTTTCATATGCATTATATGCATAAATCACATTGAATTCGTATTATTGTGTTGAAACTCTGCTAGAAGTCAGAGTTGTTGATGACCTTTTTGAAACAGGAAGAGGTAGAAGCTAGAGATCACCTCGTGTATACGTCAACTGAGACTGGTCTCCAGCATCTGGGTGGTAGTGGATCTGAACCCTGTGCTTTATCCTATTCATCAGGGTCTCTGACTGCTGAAGCTTCCTGGATACCTGGAGTGTCAGTTGTCGAAGCTGTGGACGAGGAAGACTCATCACCAACTAATTCAGTCCACGACTCTGAAAATCCATTGGAAGTTGAGGTTGTAGAACCATGCAGAGTAGATCAAAACATGAATTCAGATGACAAAATTAATCATCCAAAATCTGCATCTGTCAATAATATTGATTGTTTGGTTGATGGCGAAGCCACTTCTGGCGAGCTGCTGGACATCACTTTGGCACAATGCTCTGCCGAGACACATGATAACAGTGATACTGGTCCTGTCACCTCTTGCCAGGAAAACCTATATGATATCCATGGAAATGGAAACCTTGCCTGTAAACGTTTGCTGCTCATGGGTAGCGGTCCTGGCTCAGAAGCAGATGCTCAACACAATGTGAAAAGGATACGGCTTACACCCTTGGATGAAGGGGAAGTAGCATTTAGAAGTAACTTGTTAGATGATCTGCATTTGTAGATTAACGTATGGGAATCTTATCAAGCATTCTTTGCTCTCAAGGAACTAGGAATACAAGATTATCTGTTAGATGCACACCCCATCCTGTGAATATATTTTAGTGGGTAATATCTGTACACCCGAGATCTGATTTGTTGTAAATGCTCTTAACCCGGGTTTTGGTATCATCCAGTTAGGCACTAATAGGTGCTTGATATACAGTATTTGGACTGATCGCGAATGCTGTCTTATTTTAGTTTCTTATCTATGCTAACAGATATTTGGTTGAATGCTGTCTTATTTTAGTTCCTTAACTATTTGATGCTAACATGCTTATGCAGAAGCATTCCTTTTACGCTACTATATTTGCAGAAACTCTACTGCGGTTGACTTTGTGACAAGTACTCCCTAGGCTTTCAAAAGTTGTACAAGGTTATAGCTGGGCTGGGACGAGTTTTTCAATTAAATTGGGAAACGACTTGAATTGAGAGCTAGACTAGTAATAAACCTCAAGTTAGGAGTTAGCTTAGGGTTTTGAGTTTTTACCTTAAAATAATCGAATCCTAGTGTATCAGTTGAAAATTCAATCCAAACATATAATTAGATTTTTCGGTTTCAATTCTTATTTGTTTCTGCTCTTCAGGTTTCTCTGGTCACGTATGTCACGCCCCGACCTCGGGGAGCGCGACCGGCGCTCCACCGAGATAACCCGGCCGAGCAAGCCTGTACAATACTTTCTACCCGAACTCACTCATGAATAAATGGAAGATCTATAGACAGTAGGGAGATTCATGTGAACAATACCACCAATCCATTATCAGCAGTTTCATCATCTACAAGTTTCAGAATACATACACTTTCATAGTTTGATGTGGAACGTGTGATGCAGTTACCAAAATTACTAGTTTGACTTTCCCAACACCGACATACCACCCACACAATGTCTACGGAGCCTCTAATAGATACAATAGAGTACGATGATAGTGCCGGCAACAAGGCCCCGGCTATACCTCAAAACATAATACATAAGGACGAAAGATATACGACCCCAAATGAGGTGGGGTTCACCAAGTCAACTGGGAAGAGGGTGTACCGCTATCAACGATCAAAGACGCCTGCTGTGGAACCACCTGCATCCATTAAAGATGCAACGCCCCCGACAAAAAAAGGACGTTAGTACATATGAAATAGTACTAGTATGAATGACTAAGCACCCTCTCAATAGAACGAACGATAAAACAAGAATGAACAATCATAAAATCAATGGGAGTCTCAAACAATACCCAAAACATCAAGTTTTCAAGTGATTTCCATGTTTTAAGTTGGGAGATCTTTAGTACCGATATGCCACCGTTTACAATTTCGATTACAATTTCCAACACAGTCACTACCATGTGTGCGGCATGGCGTCCGATCACGACCCGATCGGCTAGGCTGTCTCATACGAGACATCAACCACAATCACAATTTCAATTTCAATTTTCAACACAATCACCACCATGTGTGCGGCATGGCGTCCGATCACGACCCGATCGGCTAGGCCGCCTCATCCGAGACATCATCCTTTTCTATCAAACATCCCATTTCATAACTCTTTCACATCTTTTTATTTCATTGGCACTAGTGGTCATAATTGTAATATCCCCTTTTTGTGTGGCGTGTTGACCGTATTTCATATTTTATATTCCGTGCTCACCTTTTCACTTTCAACCATCATCATGTATTTTCAACAATAAGGCATTTACGTTCAAGACACTAACCATACATACGAGCAAACAAGAGTCTCAAGTGCATTGAGATTTCTTACACAATTGGCATTAGCTATCATTTGAAACGCAACTTGAAGCCATAGCATTTAGCAAGGCAACCAATACTTTGAACACATTACCAAATAGTAGTACAACTTAACAAGAGCATTTGGAATACATATTGAACACAAAAGTCTTTTAACACAAAGTCTATTCGAAATAATCGATTCATAATTAGTAACTTGGGACTTACAATGACATTGTGAGATTCAATTCTAAGGGAAGCGTTTAGCCAACATACCTCACTTGAACTTCCTTAAAGTCTAAAATATTCCGAAAATCTTAGCAACTTCGATCTATTTCAGAAATATAACAAATTGAACCAAAAATTAGGAAGACGATCATAGTTCCAGCTCATTCGAGCGTTTTATCATATACTAGGTGTGCATTAAGGTTTCAAGGCCCTACTATGATGGATTCCATCATCCACCCATTATCTACCATTTTTAGCCCAATAATCTTCCTGCACCCCTTGATAACACATGCATGCAAGAGGAACAACTCCCACACCCAAGAATTGCCTTACTAATTACCTATTTTTAGTTAAATTTAGAAATTGAGGGTTAGGGTGTAGAATCTTATCTCTAAGATGAAGACCTAGTGTGTTTTCCTTGTTAATCTTCCAAGATTTGAGTAAGAATTGAGGAACAATTGGTTGAGGAACTCTCTCCCTCTCTAGAGCACTTTCTCACTCTCAAAATGTGAGGTTCTTACTTAAGAAATGGTCCATAGAGTCTATATAACGAAATGTGGTCGGGTTATAAAAACCAAAAAAATGAAGCTCCGAAACAAAATCTCCGGTCGCATATGCGACCGCATAATGCTTATGCGGTCTGCGAAATGGCCCTCCGGAACTGGGCATCTCTGCCTGGGTATGCGGCCATTCTGCGATGGCAAAGTGGACCGCAAAATCTCCTCCCGGAATTCCTCATGTCGATCCTGTGATGCAATCTGCAGCCCGCAAAGTAATTATGCGGCCGCATTATGGCCCACAAATTTTGCTCAAGTTTCTGCTTCACTGTGCGGCTCGCAGAGTGATTCTGCAGCCGCAGAGTGGGCCTCAGAAATGTCTTTTTCTGCCAATATTTTCCTTTAACTCCCTAACGCATTGTTCAACCCAAAAAGGCCATACTACCATCACCAAACATATAGCCTACCTCGCCACCACAGAACCTCGGGTTTTAGGTAAAATTTTACGGGACCTTACAACGAAAATCAAAAACTCAATCTCGTCTTGTCGCTTGCGGCGATGATAATTTGGCAGATGCCAAGATGTTTAACAAGAATTGACCAACGGACAAACCTATAATTCACGAAGACGTTTTTGTGAGTAATTTCCACCTTTACATGACCATTATTTGCTTCATAAATTCGACAGCAATCTTTTATTCATATATATTCCAATATTACTCAAACTTAATGATCATAACAATAAACAAATAACTAACGAAAGATCTTTAATATGAAAGAAAACAAAATTTTAAATAAAAGAGTAAAGATGGATATGCTCCATTCATCAGAAAAGTATCGATGCAACGCTATCTTAAAACCGGGAAAGAATTTGGGACATCATCTCCAACTTTTGAAATATCAAGCACAACAATAGGGGACCTCGAGAAGAGTGTAATAAAAGTTACACCCTAAACAAATGCTGAAGACCAAAGGAGCAAAGAAAAAGAAGAGAAAAGCTACATAAAGAGTTACTATTTAGTTGAGTATGGGATAAAGCTAAATCATGCAAACTAAGACATTTTGCTGAGGTTCCCTCCTAGCTGTGTAGTTGCAAGTGTAACCTTGAAAAAATTGCCCCTCAAAATAACCCAACAAAAATATGTTTGCTTAACTTATCCATAAAGAAAATGTTATTTTCTCCAACCTGAAAAACATAGCTTGCAACAATAAAAGTATACAAGAAATTCATTGGACATAATCTAAAAGATGTTTCCAGAGAAACATCAATAAGCACCATTCTTCTCTACTGGACACCAAAAAAGCTCAACTTCCCAAACCCTATCTTATCAAAATCTAAATCTTGATATTGAAGTAATCATGGTCAAAATGATGCAATCTCACATATCCATCTTCACCACCACTTGAGAAACTGCAAAATGAAATAGGGAGTTCACATGACACTCTAGATGGAAGAATCAATTAACCTGGTCATCATCAGAGGCTTAAAACATATTCAACATGGAAATTGATCAACATTATACCATCTAGAAGTAAACGAGGATATAACAGGTAATTAGAAACAACACATTTTAACATGACAAAATGAAAGCGGAAAGCAGCATAGAACACATTGGGGCGTTAGTGGACATCNAACACATTGGGGCGCTAGTGGACATCAGATAAAAGATAAGATCAGGACAACAATAAAAGACATGTTTGCTGGACCATGACATGAACCTCTGAGAATGACATCAAGATATCGTTTTTCCTACCACAAGGTTTAGGATGCAACTGCAAAGGAGGAAGTTCAAAGGAGCTGTCTGCATATTTTATTGTTTTTTTCATAGCAGATTTCAAATGTCTACAATAGAATAATGGTCACAGTAGTATGTTCTCCTATCTCATTTTGAGCTCCAGTTTTTATTAACCAATTGAAGTTGTAATCCTCAAGGATGCAATTGATTGATGGTAAACAGAGAGACACGTTTCGAGACCAGAATAATACCTCACTTTCCTATCCTTTTTTCCTTATCCAAAAAAGGGGAAGGAAGCTGAGAGAGGTTCTACTCTGATCTCAAAAAACATTTGTGTTTCTGTTCTAGATTCTAGTGTAAACAACAACATACCCAGTATCATCCCACATAGTGTTCTAGATTATAGTGTATGTGTTTCTTCTACAACACGAAACCTCTTTCAAGATCTGTCCAACATCAAACAAAGATCCATTTTTATGGCCTTCCTATGTATCTTTTTACTTCCTTCACCTCTACCCTTCTTCACTCACTTCTCCTCTTTCGACCCATCATCTCCTCACCCCAATCAAACATAAGATGGAAGAGAAGTACGCACATGCACTTGTTGAGCTTGAAGCTACAAGAGAAATGATATATATGTTTTGGTTGTGCACAAAAAAAATGCTAACGTCAAGAACTCTAGTCCACTATGCTTGAGCCTATATTCTTGCACCAGACATGATGTAGCTACGGGATACTAAAAGTTGCAAAGTGAGGAAAGAGAGATGCCACAAGCTCACCGCTTGTTATCAATGTCCACAGCTGAAGAAAAGACGTGACAAACCAACCAAAACTAAAAAAATACCAAAGACAAGTACTTGCTCCATTACTTTTCTCATGCAGCACTACACTTCAACAACTTGCTGAAGATCAAATAGATATTAATGGAAACAATGTCCATTGTGCTCTCTCCAACATTGGAAAAAACAAGATTTGAGTTTTGGAGTTCCTAAGAACCATTCGCACTGCGTTGTCAAATGGAAAACTTAGCTCCGTTCGACATATCCACCAACATAA